AATCCTCACAGCGGAAGCTATTGGAAGGTCCTGCACTTTACGTGGGTTATCCTTTGTTGTCTTGTGGTGGCCTTTTTTGGTGTTTCTATTCGACGGGCTCGAGGTGGCCGTTTCCAACAACTTAGCCAAGCTTCACGGCTCTACAAGTTTGAGGTTGAAACAAAACCTCTTTGAACTCACACTTTGCATTAGCGTGGAGTGGGCCATGTCGGGCGTCAAGCCATTGACATCTAGTGTTTCACTTTGGAAGCATGAAATAAATGACGACAAGCTCTCGTTGGCTCTCTGCTTCAATTGTTACAAGGATCATGCACTTTTCTTATACCTCAAGGCTCTGGCAAACTGCAATAGAAAGAGCCTTCTGAACTCCAAAAAATAGGTGATTACTCTCACGAGCAATCCGACAAACCACCTTAATTCGGTTGAACTCAATTTCTTGAAGAAGAGCTTACATTTGAGGGCGTCAAAAAATTTCAACATGCATATAAACGATCCGAACGACGCGAGGTGGTCATTAGGATACGACTATTCTTTATATGGCTCTAAGATTGGCATCTTGAACTTCTTCAGAGGTTCAACTCCAAAGACCTGTAGGGAGAAGGCGTTTTCAGATTGCCTTTGTACCTTGGTCCATACTGTTCAGTTTATTTCCTCCACAGGGGCATATCTTATGCTGTTTTGGTATAGACTATCGTCAGACTTTTTCTACAGGTGGATCACTCTCCTTTCTTTATTGTCTTGTGGTTCCTCTTGAGGGGGGTTGAGTGTTCCTTGTAGTGTTGGCTTCTCCTGGAACTAGGGCCGTTGGTAGGGCAACCGTCACCCTAAGTACTCATGCGAGTTGTACTGACAACTGGTTGGTGGTTTGAGTTCTCAAATCTTGCAAGCCTTGTTGAACGAGTTCCTCTATAAACTCCCGAGCGCATTTTGCTTCTCCTACGTTCCTCTGACTGGACTCTCCCTGTTGTTGTTATTGGGCACCTCCTCTTTTTGACGACATGTTTTCACACTTACCGCACCTTAAAGGAAGTTAAATTCAAAAGTATCAAGGAAACACACCCAAGGAATAGAACTTTCTGTCAGGAAGTAATGTGAGAGAGAGAGTACACAATAGGAGACGGTAAAAGAGAGTGTCATTTATTCATGACATGAACCCTTATTTATAGACATAGACCCTAGCATTACAAAAGTACATACTTTCAGGGAGACTTTTTGATAATTGGAGAGTTATTCACATATAATAAGACCGTAGACTAAGCTAATCGATGAGAGTTGTCGATCGTCTAGTATGCCTTGATTCGATCGATATCTAATCCGAGTGAGTGCCTCCTTTTGATCGTCTTGAGGATTGATGATCACCCTGCAGAATATCTCTTGGCACGTTCTGTCGATCGTTCGAACAACATGCCTCCCTTGCCAACATCCAGTTCAAAACGGTCATCAACAACTATGTATGATTATCAATGTCATCCTCATGCGTCGTTTATCTGACTTCGGATTAGTACTTACATATTTTTACATACACACACACATATCACCAATGTCCTGAAAATTGGAACGAACATTGAATAAGTAGACAGGGAAATTCAATGTTCAAATGTTAAGGAGGGTTGCTTCAATAGATAAGAGTTGAATAGGAAATTAAACAGTGAATTGAATTGAATAAAGAAATAATTAATATTTTTTTTTTCGATATGATATAAATGATGTAATGATGAAGTAATATATAAATTTTCATTATGAAATTTAAATTAATTACTTCAATACTTGAATGACTATCTGTTTCTTCAATAACATGATTTTTTTTTAATCCAAGTAGTGGACATGCGGCCAACTAACAAAACTAATCTGTGCATTTGAAGTAGAGGCTATGAGTGGCTGATGATGGTGTTCAAGTTTGCAATCAAGCTGAAGCAACACATGATGCTTTACAGAAACAAATTGAGATAGAGTTTTTCATTTTCCTTTTCTAGTACATTAAGGAATTAAGGCTATTAAATTTTTATTTATATAAATAACTAAAGAAATTGTTTATTTGATCAAATCGGGGTAACTCGAGAAAGAACCGATCGATTCTTTAAAACTGAGATTGGTTGTTCTGTTCGACAGTTGACCAACGGTTCAAAACAGTTATGAACAGATCGATTTTGGATCATATCAGAGTTATGATCGGTTCACGATCGAGCCAGTCGAACAGGACAATCCAAACCAGTTTTCAAAACCAAACATACCACACAATTCTTATGTATCCATGTTTCGAGCACCTAAACTTGCAATTTATATCCATCTCACTTAAATCTTTAATAGCACATAACAAAAATCACAGTTATTTATTTTCGGATATTGGATTTATTTGTAATTCAAAATTTTTGGTTAAACCAAAAACCAAAGTAATAATAGGAATATATATATGACATTTTTGGTTTATGCTCTAGGCTCCAGTGTGAAATAGTTTGGCTCCTTGTTTGGCCAAAATCACCTTACGCATCCTATATCCGATTTGGATGTAGACTAGAGCGATGTATTTGAATTCACCAGGTGACAACACTACATGATCGGGCGCCATCTTATCGATCAGGTGGCACCCGATATTGTCACGCTGTCACCCGACGGTTAACCGTCCGAACATGCGACACAATATTTTCTTGTATTAATCAGAGGACTCCTAATGCAGACACATAGTTTAAAGCATTTAACATTTGCTTTTGAATTAGGGCTTGTCGGGAATGCCACACTAGGGTGCTAAAACAAGTGAGTTGAATTCTAATTTGAATGTAAAAACTTTTCTCCATTCAACGTTCATTTTCATTTGCCGAATATGAATTACAAGCTGCATCGTGTTGTTATCACGGTTCTGCGACAGTGGCGTAAAGTTGGTGTTATTGAAGGTTGTACCGCGGTATTATTGAGATGTTATTACGGTCCCGTGCTCGTGGTATCGAGTGGTGTTATTGGGAGGTTATTGTGGCTTCATGTAGGTTTTATTGGGAGTATTACCGCAGCGTTATTGAGGCGTTAAAGGCGAGGAATTGAGAAAAACGTTGTTATTGCACATGTATTACACGGTTGTGGGTGTTATTGCACCCATAATTGAGAAAAACTGGTGTTATCGGCTTGTCTATGTTATCGGCTTGGCTACCCCGAACAGAACCAATATATTTATTTTCAATCCAATTCAAGCTGAACACGAGCAAACAAATATTTGTTCGTGTTCGCCTTGTTTATATTTCGAGCTTAAAAATTTGTCCGTGTTCGGCTCATTAAGCTTAACGAACGAACCAAACACGAGCTGTTTGTGAACGACAAGCCAATTGACAGCCCTAACCAATCTACATTTATAATTTGAGAAACTTACTTATGAAGTATGCAATATACGTAATTGATATAGATTTAACCAAAGCCAAACCAAACTATTGTTTGGATTGATCCGATCGTCAGTTTGGTTTGATCAGTTTGGGCAAGTTTTTTTAGGCGTTAAATATCAATTGATTTTATAATTTATAATCCAAATAACTCGAATGCACGCCTCTTATAAACGGATATACAAAATAGCTTCAAAATATTATAAGCATTAAGAAAAATTCTTTTTATGTGATTTAGCTCAAAGATGACAAACCTATATAAATCTGAATTAAATACTCCTTAAAAATGATCCTAGAGATGGTTTGATGATTAAAAGCATTATGCTTGTAGAGCATTTAATTATGCTTAAGGATGGCGCCATACTATTTGCCATACCAGCTTATAAAGCTAATGGAAGAGATGAGGAGAGAAAGAAGATGAAGAAGGGAACAACGAACAAGTCTGAAGAAAGCTAGGTAGAAGAATTTTTATTTCTGTTATAATTTACTACATAATATACCCACATATTTATAAGTCGGGACAGGGTAAAGAAGTAAACATATGAGCGTGTAGTTATAATATTTTACATTTAATTCAGCTAATATAAAATGTCTTTTACGATGAAATGCCTAGATCTAATCAGGACAAAGCTGAGACAGAGGTTGCGTTGGATGGAAGAGCAAGCTCTGAGCATTAATAGAAGGTAAGATGCCGAGAGCAGAGAATCGTAAGGCATGTCTTCTATTACAGCTTAAAGAGATTATGCATGTACCACCCTAATCATATAATTTTATTGATATCATCATAAACTATAACGTTATATTTTTTACTTTTTAAGGACTGCAAATTTACTCCTAAATTGACCCATAAGAATATGCAAAACCTTGAATTCAGGATATCTACATAAAATAGTTGAAGCGCCCAACTACAAAATTAGCATAAACTGTTTATATTTACAAATTCCAAGTTAGATTGCCGCATCAATAAAATTATGATGCACTAGTACAAAATTATAATCATTATACCTCCCTTCATTCATATAAAAAATGAAAAGAGTTTATTCTTTTATCAGAATGATTTCAAAACTATTAAATTTATTTTGAAAATATGACTGTCAAAATAATCCCCATAAAAGAAAATGAAAAGAGTTTATTCTTTTATCAGAATGATTTTAAAACTATTAAATTTATTTTGAAAATATGACTGTGTCAAAATAATCCCTATTAGAACTCAAATTTAAAATAATCACAAACTATTTTTGATCTCTGAGACTGAAAAGACCCTACATACTAGGGGACTATTTTGGCAAGAACTCAAATTTAAAATAATCACAAACTATTTTTGACCTCTGAGACTGAAAAGACCCTACATAAATACTAGGGGACTATGTTGGCACTTTACTCAATAAAAATCGATTTATTATTTACACATCATATTAATTTTAAAATAAAATTTTAAATTTTAAAACCATTCCTTACCAATTTGATTTAAAACTCACACTACGAGTCTTATGACCACACTTTGTTTTAAAATTTTGTTTCTCATAAATTAGGAAATACAGCAGCAACACTCCCAAACTAATAAGCCATTTGAATTTATATTCAGCCTCAACAACAGTTTAAGAGAGAGAGAGAGAGAGAGAAGGGGGTTGACCGGCACCTTGTGGGTGAGCAACCTGCCCGCACATCACGCCCTCAACGGGCGTTGAATTCTTTAATCCAAACCCAGCATCAAAAGCCCACTATCTGTTATATGCTTCTACTATAAATGCTACTCCACCACACTCAACTTTTAGTTTCAATAATGAGCATAGTTTCCATAGCTCATTTATATTTATAATTTGAGCGAGAATCGGGGACAAACAGAGCTCGACCCAAAAAACCAAATAGTAAAAGCACTTTTTGAGAATCCGGTGAGAGAAAGCGAGGAGAAGACTGAAAAGCAGGAGGGTGACATGGGCCGGATTCCATGCTGTGAAAAGGACAGCGTGAAGCGGGGGCAGTGGACCCCGGAGGAAGACAACAAGCTCTCCTCCTACATCGCCCAGCACGGAACCCGTAATTGGCGCCTAATCCCCAAGAATGCCGGTATCCCTGTTCATCTTAATTATTAATTAGTTCTATCTATATCTATATCGACCATAAGAATCACCAAAATTCGACAATAGGACTGCAGAGGTGCGGCAAGAGCTGCCGGCTACGTTGGACCAACTATCTCCGGCCGGACCTCAAGCACTGCGAGTTTTCCGAACCCGAGGAGCAGACCATCGTCAAACTCCATTCCGTGGTCGGCAACAGGCATGTCAAAGTTTATATACTGATTTTTGTCATGGAGTTGCTCCACTAAGATATCCTACTCTTACTCGACAGATGGTCGCTAATAGCGGCACAACTGCCAGGGAGGACGGACAACGATGTAAAGAATCACTGGAACACGAAGCTGAAGAAGAAGCTCTCGGGGATGGGAATCGATCCCGTGACACACAAACCGTTCTCCCACCTCATGGCGGAGATCGCCACCACACTGGCTCCGCCACAGGTGGCACACCTTGCGGAGGCCGCCCTGGGTTGCTTCAAGGACGAGATGCTTCATCTCCTTACGAAGAAGCGGATTGATTTCTCCTCCAACCGCGTTGTAGGAGGCCACTCAACTCCATTTCTGCCACCTCACCCATCCGGGGAGCTCGCTCTGGTTGGGGATGTTAATGGAGAGGAAACCATTCGAAAGATTAAAATGGGGCTCTCACGAGCCATTATGCAGGAGCCTAGCCCGGTCATGGGATGGGGTGCCATGGCTGGTAGTGAACCTGACGCTAACGATTTGATGTGCGAAATGTATAAGATGGCCATCGGCCATGGATACGGCTATGAGGACGGCGAGGGGTCCAAGTGGAGCACATGCACTGTTGGCGGGCACCTATTGAAGAGGGAGGAAGAGTCTGAGAGAGATAAGGGTGGGAGCAAGGAGGATGCTGGCGTGGTTGGCTCGGAGTGTGTTCTTTGGGATTTAAGTGATGATTTCATGAATCATATGGTTTAAATAAAGTTCAAATAAAAAAAAAAGATTTGATCACAGAAATCTGAAAGAATAACTGTAGCTAAAAATATGTTACAACGAATGTAACTAATGCAGTTGGATAGCATGAATGCTTGCCTTATATTTCATTTGGTAACTAATGTTTATGAATAATTGAATAATTATGGTACGGATTTGGTCTCATTCACGCAAAATAGGAAGACGAAGATGATGTATCCGCCAAAACCTGTTATGAAAATAATTAAAAAATGAGTATAGTTTAGGCAAGAGAATGAAAGTTGTTTTGATTAAGATGTTGTTAGCTTGCCTCCAGTTGTTCTTCGCTAAATGAATCCTTTTGAATGTTCCAGGTGTCTGCATGAGTTCGCCTAAACTCGGCAACTGCTTTTGTGACTGTAGATTTAATGGGAGAGGGTTCTTTGATGAATTGGGCAAGCAGTGTTACGTGATCAGGCAGCCAGCTGCGAAGAGTTGAAGTACATTAGTCCGGCACGCCACAGGAAACAAATTAAAAAATAAAAATAAAAAAGGCTGGCTCCTGAGATGATTTTCTCATTTTCTGAACGCATCTTTGTTCACCTTTCACGTTACCACTTCAATTTTAACTTAAAAACCTCAATTCATTATGGACTCTCAATATTTATATTAAAAAAAAAAGTCATGAAAATTTACATGCATACCGGAAACCACTTAATTCATATATATTTATAAGTCTAACACCTAACTTCAATTTGTAAATACATTCGACCTTCCATATGCATGAAGAGGTGTATTTTAAATTTTAAAAGTTAAAATAGTGATACTTCTGATATGATATAGTTATGTCAGCCTTTAAGGGCAATTTAGTCTTCTATTAGTTATTATTGCCTCTAAGGGCAATTTAGTCTTCTATTAGTTATTATTGTCGAGAATAACTAGGGCTTATTATGCTTAGGGTTAAAGATATGCATGAGATTGTGGTCATGAGTTTAAGTTGAGGGTTTGGGAGAGATCTCCTTTCGAATTATAGGTGATGAGAGAGATTACCTACCTCTCAAATTATAAGTGCTTAACTTTATTTATTTAGATTGTATTATTTTGTGTTATTGAAAAAATGATTTGTTTACCTTAACTTTTGAGAAAACACTATCTTGATTCATATTAAATTGGGTATCAAAACATTCGATGATGGCAAGCATCGTCAGCGTGAAGTTGTTAGGGTCTTGCGCTAATCTTTGCAGAAGGATCGACACAGAAGGTGTACAAGATCGCAACATACAGGGATCGAGGCGTGCAGAGGAGCAAATGATCTCGGCTCCAAAGATTTATAATCAATTAAAATTAGTAATTAAAAATAGAATTAAAATACATTAAATTCAAGTTAAATGAATATTTTAATATAAATAGTAAGATTTAAATATCGTCCCACTTTTAATGAATCATTGTTCGTGAAGAGTTGATGTTCGACTCGATAAGCAAACGAGCCAAACACAAATAAATTTTGTGAGCTCGATATATAAACGGGCCAAACAAAAACAATGATATTTTTTTAACTAGCTGAGTCTGGGTTCGCTCAAGCTTGACTCGTTTACTCCCCTAAACGACTGTGTGATTAGGATAGTCAAAGCGGTCTTTGTTCATGAACAACTCATGTTCAACTTGCTAAGCAAACGAGCCGAACACATAATTTTTTTGTGTTCGAAATATAAACAAGTTGAAAACGAACAATGTATTTTTTAATGAGCCGAACACAAGTTGAGCCCCGGCTCGCTCGTGTTCAACTCGTTTACACCTCTAGTATTCACCCATACTACCACCCCTACGTACAACATGACGAGATTGAGATATGGATTTGAGAAATATTAGAAGCCGAGATCAGACAACCTAGTGTGAGCTCCTTACCTAGCCTAGTCTCTTTAGTGAAGAAGGATAGGGGTTAGCACTTTTGTGTGGATTATTGGGTAGTGAATGATGAGAGTAACTATGAATTTCTGATTAAATAAAAAGAATTGCGGGATGAGGACGCCACATGGGAATCACACGACTTAATCCAACAATAGTTTTTTTTTCCCAGCTTGAGGATAAAGTATCTTTTTGGGAGAGAAGCATTGTTACGCCGGCACCTAAAGACAATTCAGTCTTTCATTAATAATAATTACGTCGGAATGTATGCATGAGATTGTGGTATTGAGTCTTAGGTTTATGGTTTCGGACAAGTTGCCTCTCTCTCAAACTATAGGTGTTGGGAGAGATCGACTACCTCGGATTGTTGGTGCTTATCTTCATGTATTTCAATTGTGTTATTTTGTGTTGTTGAAGAAAAAATATGCTTGCTCTAATTTCTATGAAAAAATTGTCTTGGTTTGTATTAGATATGAAAGATTTAAGTAGTATAAATGTAAAAAATAATGTTTAGATGTTAGAAATGTAAATACATAGGAATGTGGTGGTATGCATGTAAATGCCCAAAAAGTTATTTAGGATGTTCAAAACATAAAGGAAGTGAAAGGCATATGGTGGGAGATGCTTCAGATGACACGAGAGACGTGGAATGATTAAAGCCAGAGAATAAAAACATTAGACTAATCAAAAAGCCTTTTACAGAAAAATGATTTTGTATTATTCTATCTGGATTTAGGCTGAAAATTAACAAAATCTGGGCATAGGATACCTGGGCATGTCATAGGGACTCGATAGCACAGATGCAGCCAATGCAAGGACGGCACCATGTATAGAAGCTGTGGACTGAAAAGATCCCGATTTTCTGCAAAAGAAAAAGGTGATTTTAGTCTTGCATAATAAAGGCTAGCATGTAAAACTAGAACGTTTCTCTCTCTCTAGTTCAATAAAATAGATATTGCATATCAGATTTCCTAGTATAGGACAGTGCAATCCAGAAGTTGATTACCAGCATTTTGATGGTAGTGAAGGAAGATCGTGGCAAAAAAGACGAGTGAAATGACAGCAGATAAAATTATTTTTCGTATTTTATTTGATATAAACTAATTGCATTTATTTAAATGAAGTTACGTTTAAGGCTATTTCTTTCTACTAACTATGGCATATAAATACAGTCAATTTAGCAACACCATGGAATTTGAATTACTTCGAACCCCCATAACTCTTAGCAAACCAACCAAAAATATAAAGACAAAATTTTGGGCTCGAATATCCATCTATAAAACCCCTTAAATAGAATAAAGTTAAACTTTTAAATATCGAGACGTCTTTTGGTGCGATGGTTAAAATTTCATCAAAAACTCTAAATATAAAGTTGCTAATATAGGAGCACTATTAAGCTAGGCGACCTTATGAGAAGTTGCACTAATGGGAGAAAATCATAAGGTCATTAGGTCAAAAATGACATCTTGATGGATGAGAGTTCAGGCTGCTACAGAAAGTATCAGAGCATTACACCAACCTTAATATGGAAATATTTATCTGGTGGATAATCCTAGGTTAGGGTTAATAATACTGATGAGGAATAGATCGTCAAAACTCTTTAAGTAGAATAAAGCTAGCACTTGAACATCAAGGCGCCTTGTAGTGTAACAATTAAAATTTCATCAAGAATTTTAAAGTCAAGTGTGCTATCATGGGAGCACTCATGGGTGTATGATCCTGGTTTAATAATACTAACGTGGACGTAAAGTAGAATAAAACTGACACTTGAACATCGAGGCACCTTGTAGTGTAACAATTAAAATTTCATCAAGAACTTTAAAATCAAGCGTTTTATCAGTTACACTAATGGAACAAAATCATAAGGACATTAGGCTAGGGCAAACAATATACTGATGGATGAATGTTTGAGTTATTACAACATAGATATTCGCTCTTAAACTTCTTAAAATCATGTTTTCCCATCATTCAAATTTAGCAAAAGAGACAGATTATCTGCAATCAAAATGAAGGCATAATCTTAGTAGATTCTTAACCTTTGTTTCCGCTTTCTTATAATCGAATGTGCCTCTGAAAATGCACGATCCCGAAAAATTCCTGAAAGCTCTTCATCTCCCGCTTTCATTAAGCTTGCCAGAACCCCTGCGGCATGTTCCCTCACCTGGTGTTTAGAAAATATTAGTTGTAAAAATTGCAAATTACAGTAAACTAAAATGGCGGAGGAAAAGTGTATGTTTCTTCCACAAGTATAGGAAGATATAAAATAAACCATATCTTGTAGGACTTGTTAAAGAAGTTCAAATATGATGCATGGTCATCCCTCAAAAGGCAAATTTTAAAGAAGTGGGTGCTAAAAATTAGAAAGATATCGCAAAGTTCGATCGACTTGGTTAAAAAGATTGATCACAAAGAAATTTCTAAGACAAGGAGCAAATAGATAAAATCCAGCAATGTTTGTAGATGGATCCGAATCATATATATTCACTTGCCTCTACTTGGTTATCAACAAGGAGCCTCTCAATGCTGTCCCAGATTTGAACTTTCTCTGAACCAGAAAGTAAGAATGTATGCCTGTTGCAACAAAACAAAAACGGACAGATACATCACATGCTCTTTCAATTAGAATGTTCCATGGCATCTCAAAAGAGAAACCAAAAGCATTTACCTGTTAATTTAACAAAACAGCTAGCAAGAAGACAAGATAAATTGCACTTAAAAGAGAACTCAAATACACAGCTTTTCCAACTTCCTTTAGCGAAATAATGTGGTGCATCTTGCAGCAAATATGGACATGCCAGTTGATAAAACTTCGACATTATATATATATATATATATCAGCATATCATGGCCTCCTTAATGCAATATGGGCTCCTTCATGATAGTGTGAAGTGTGACTTTCTATTCCTTTTTATGAACTTAACAGGAATAAGCAGTCAGAAAGAAATGCAGTGCTAAATTATCAGCAACGCAGAAGCTAATGGGAGCTTCCATAATGATTGATGTAATTTAATAAAAAAGAAAAAATGCAAGGATTGGTCTTTCCTACAAACTGGTGCGGACCAATAGCAAAGGCCAAGAGAACAACGACGTAATGAAAAGATTCATTAATGTAAAAAACTGCCATCTACAGTTACAGCAACTCCTTTTAATCACTACCACAAGTTAGAAAGGTCATTTAATATAAACTGTTATTAATATCAGCTCATTAAGCAAATACTTAATATAATTAAGGAAAGATTATAAAAAATAATTATGGTAATTAAAGGTGACATGCGGCATGCTGCACTGCTATCATTAAGCTACTCTGTCATCGGAATTTAGCACATGAAAAGTGCATGTTAACTTGTCATTAAAGAGGCGGTCTGAATCCTTAACAGAAACTCCCTTTGCCTGTCACTCAGTCTACTCAGTTCTCTGTGGGCCTCAACACCATTCATTTTCTTCCTTATATTTCTTCCTTATATTAAGGGTTTTTGGAGCGCCATGGATTTCCCTTACTGTTGTGCCATATTCCACCTAGAAAGCAGACTCACATGGCTGCATTTTGTAAGGAAAAAAGTGCCAAACCTTTATGTGGATGCTTAAACTAGGAGATTTTGATGGACCAAAATACGAACACAAATAAGATCAAAATCATCATACTTAGAGAAAACCACTAAAATTTATATGGTGTGGATTAACAAGTCTACATTCCTGGGAGATGAGAGAGAATCCAATCAACTAATTACAGAAGTCAGCAATGAGCCACAAAACAGGAACCCTCACCAATCCTTCAAAAAATCTAAGTACACTCGCTCTCACGCAAAAGAGAAGCCCAATGTTTCTAAAGATAATTAAAAGAGAAGTAATTCCAAAAAGATGACCAACACACAAAAAAAATAATTTAAATAACAAAAAATACCCACTTAAAATTTCCTCAAAACAATGTTGTTAGCTAAGCCTATGAGTTCAGCACTGAATTTCTAGTAAAATAACACTTCCGATTTGTGAGAGATGATATTCTAAGTTAACATAAACGAACATTTTCTGATTTCCACGTTCTTTATTTCTCCCCTATGTTCACTCATCACACCTCTGTTTTCTAACTCTTCCAGCCTCTCCCTCTTATGCCAAAGCCACCATGTGCCACAATTTCGTACGTTTTAAAACATGCAAATAATCACACATTGAAATTCTTATTTATAGTGATGCGGGAGCGCCCCATGCTTCGAACTCGGGAGTCTCGCCAACAAAGCAGCAATCCGGCTATCAACCCGGCTATTGTACCTGGACCGAACCGGGTTAAGGTTTGTCCCTTTTTAGGAGGCGGCCTA